GGGGATCTTATTAGGATTCTGATTGTGATTCAGTCAGGGTTGGATGGAGCTAAAGATCGTACACATCTAATAAGCCCCCAGATTGTGCAAAAGCTGATGGTCTTTTGAGTAGCCAGTTCTAGATGTTAGTTTGAGGCTTTGCAAAAGACTTCTAAGTTTGTCACACTATTGCCACTTTTGTCTAGAGTTACAGTATTCATGCCAGCATTTTGCTGTATGGTTATGCTATTGGAGACTTTTCCAGAAGTCCTTCATTATCCCTGAGTCACAGTAATTTTCTTCTTTATTAACTTTGTAGATTCTTTTTTTTTGGTGAGGTGGGGGTCTTGCTCAGGCTGACCTTGAGCTCCTGGACCCAAAGGATACTCTTGCCTTAACCTCCAAGTAGATGGGACTCTAGGCATTGACTGCCACACCTGGCTACCGTCATAATTTTATATCACACTTAAGGATTTAATACTTCTGAAGTCTCCTTTGCATTGGGTATACATCAGGTAAGGTAGATTATTATTATTAATACTTTTTTTGGTGCTGGGGATCGAACCCAGGGCCATGTGCAAGCAAGGCAAGCACTCTACCAACTGAGCTATAGCCCCAGCCCAATTTTTATTTTCTTTATAGCAAGCCGTTTTCCCCAGTATCAAATAGCCCACTGTTTTCCCATCGATGTGTGATGCTTTGTCTTATTGCAAGTTCCAAGTTATATGGAAGAGTAACTCTTATACCTTTGTTCTTTCCTTTCAAATTTGACTTATTTGGGGAGCTTTGTCTTTTTAAATGAATTTTACAGTAAATCTGTTTAGCTTCTTGAACTACTCTAACTGAAATCTTGAATGAAACTATTGATTTATTTTTATACTCATTTACAGGAAATTAATATTTTTTACTATCTTCTCCCATCTGTCAACAGGGATAAATCACCATTTATTAAGATCTTTCATGTCTTTTAATGGGTTTAAAGTTTTTCTCTATAAGGTTTTGGTGTTATTATTCTTTATATCTATTACAAATATTTTGTTTTTGTTGCTTTTGAGAACAATATTTATTATATTTCTAAGTTGATTATTTTGACATAGAGAAATGTCATTAATTTTTATAAACTATTTTTTAAAATTTTAAAATTCTTTTTGGTTATACAAGAAGTAGAATGTATTTGGACATATCATACATACATGGAGTGTAAGTTCCCATTCTTGTTGTACATGATGTGGAGTTAAACTGGTCGTGTATTCATGTATGAACAAAGGAAAATGAGGACTGATTCATTCTACTGTCTTTCCTCTTCCCATCTCCCCTCCCTTGGCTTCATTACCCGTTGTCTAATCCAAAGTACTTCTATTCTTCCCTCCTACCCCCTTATTGGGTGTTAGCATCTGCAAATCAGAGAGAATATTTGGCTTTTGGTTTTTGGCGATTGGCTTATTTCACTTAGCATGATAGTCTACAGTTCCAGCCATTTATCAGCAAATGCATAGCTCCATTCATCTTTATGACTGAGTCATATTCCATTGTGTGTGTGTATGTGTGTGTGTTTATATATATATAATATATTTATATATAATATATTATATATATATAATATATATATATAAAATATATATATATATCACATTTTCTTTATCCATTCATTTGTTGAAGGGTATATGGGTTGGTTCCATAGCTTAGATATTGTGAATTGAGCTGCTAGAAACATTGATGTGGCTGTGCCACTATAGTATTCTGATTTTAAGTCCTTTGGGTAAATGCTGAGGAGTGGGATAGCTGGGTCAAATGGGGGTTCCAGTCCAAGTTTTCAGAGGAACCTCCACACTGCTTTTCAGAGTGGTTGCATGGCTTTGTAGTCCCACCAGCAATATGAGTGTGTCTTTCCCCCACATTCTCACCAACATTTATTGTTACTTGTATTCTTGATAATTGCCATTCTGACTTGAGTGAGTTTTAATTTGCATTTCTCTAATTGCTAGAGATGTTAAAAATTTTTTCATATATTTGTTGACTATTCATATTTCTTCTTCTGGGAAGTGCCTGTTCAGTTCCTTTGCCTATTTATTGAATGGGTTTTTAGGTTTTGGTTTTTGGACTGTGAAGTTTTGAGTTCTGTATATATCCTGTAGATTAATGTTCTGAGGTGCAGGTGGTAAAGATTTTCTCCCACTCTGTAAGCTCTCTCTTCACACTCTTGATTGTTTCCTTTGCTGTGAAGAATTTCTTAGTATAAACCAATTTTGTATTTCATAGTTTTGATGACCTTTCTATACAGCTTTTCTGCATAGATAATGATACTACTTTTTTATATATTTATTTTATTTTATTTAGTTGTAGTTGGACATAACACCTTTATTTCACTTGTTTATTTTTATGTGGTGCTGAGGATCAAACCCAGGGTCTCGCACGTGCAAGGCAAGCACTCTACCCCTGAGCCACAACCCCAGCCCCGATAATGATACTGCTTTTATGATTTTTAACTTTTATTAAAACTTTTCTGATTCCTAGATAACTAAAATTATATTTTCATTATTTGCAAATAATGATACTTTTGCATATTCCATTCTTTTTTAATTTCATTTTTTGCATTTATCATTTATTTTATTTAAAAAATTAGACTATTTTTGAGCAGTTTTAAGAAAAATTCAACAGAGTATTGAGAGTTCTCATGTACTCCCTCTTCCATTCCCTAAGATTCCACTCTTATTAATATTTTGCACTAGTATTGTACATTTGTTGTAACTGATGAATCAATATTGATACATAATGGTATTAAATAAAGTCCATAGTTTGCATTAGAGTTCACTCTTTGTACATTTCTGTGGGTTTTGCCAAATGTATAATGTCCTGTGTCCAGTATTACATATCACACAGAATAGCTTCACTGCACTAAGAGATCCCATGAGCTCCATATGTTCATCCTTGTCTCCACTCCTGGATCTGTCAATCACTGATGTTTTTAGTGCCTCCACAGTTTTGCTTTCTCCTAAATGTCATATGGTTGGAATCATATGAAATGTAGCCTTTTCAGATTGCATGCAGATTGCTAAATGAAAGAAGACAATCTTTCACTTAGCAGTGTTTTTCCGTGTCATTTTGTGTTTTGATAGTTCACTTCTCCTTGTTACTGAATGAGTCCATTGCATAGATATACTAATTTGCTTTTCCATCCACCTACTGAAAGACATTTTGTGTCTGCCCCCCGTTTTGGCAATTGGTAATAAAGTTACTGTAACATTCAGGTACATGTTTTTGTGTGGACCTAAGTTTTCAATTTCTGTGGGTAAATACCTAGGAGTGTGATGGCTGGATTGCACGTTTCAAGGTATCTTCAGTTTTGTAGGAAATTGCCCCGCTGTCTTCCAAAGTGGTTGTACCACCTTGTATGCCCACTAGCAGTGAATGAGTGCTCCTGTTGCTCCACATACTCGCCACCATTTGGTGTTAGTGTTTTGAATCTTAGCTATTCTGATAGGAGGGCAGTGGCCTCTCACTGCTGTTTTTATTTCCCATTCTCTAGTGATGTATTACATTGAGTGTCTTTTTATATGCTTATTTGCCATCTGTCTATCTTCTTTGGTGAGGTGTCTGTTCAGATCTTTGCCTTTTGTTTCGTTGTATTGTTTTTGCATTTTAAGAATTCTCTGGGGGCTGGGGATGTGGCTCAAGTGGTAGCGCGCTCGCCTGGCATGTGTGCGGCCCGGGTTCGATCCTCAGCACCACATACAAACAAAGATATTGTGTCCGCCGAGAACTAAAAATAAATATTAAAATTCTCTCTCTAAAAAAAAAATTCTCTGTATGTTTTAGACACAAATCCTTTGTTAGATATGTCTTTTGCAAGGTTTTTCTTCCTGCTGAGACCTTGTTTGTAAATTCCATTTACCAAATCCCCCCTTCCCCTGCCATGTATTGTACTTTTGGTGCTGTATCCAAAACCTTATTGCTGAGCCAAAAGTGACCTAGATTATTTTCCTATGTTTTTTTGTTTTTTGGAAATTTTATAATTTTGCATGTAGGTCTCTGAACCATTTCCAGGTAATTTTTGTGAGGGGTATAAGACCTGTATCTAGATTTTTAAAAATTTTTTTCATGTGTGTATAGTATACAGTTTTTCCAGCACTATATTTTGAAAGACTATGCTTTCCTCCATTAAGTTATTTTTACTCCTGTCAAAGTTCAGTTGACTATACTTGTGCAGGCCTATTTTGGGGATCTCTCTTCAATTTCATTAATTTATTTTTCTATTCTTTTCACCAGTATCACACTGTCTTGATCACTGTAGCTGTTTTTTTTAATTTGTTTTATAACCTTGCATTTTTGAGGAAAAAAATTTGCAGTTGATTTTAATCTCAGTTACATAAGAAATAGGACACTTTTAATAAAAGAGAAAAAAAATCACCAAACATTATAGTTTTTATTCTTCTGCCAAAGGCTTCATTCTTTCAAAAGCTGGAACACTTCTGAAGTGGGGCAGCTGGGATGGAGCTGTCACAGTGAGTGGGGACTGGCCTGTGGACTCTTTATCTGCCGACATTTATTTGACATCATTGAAAATGATAGGGAGCTGGGGGCCGTGGAGCATGCCTGTAATCCCAGAGGCTTAGGAGGCTGAGGAGGAGGGTCGAAAGTTCAAAGCCAGCCTCAGCAACTTAGCAAGTCTCTAAGCAACTCAGTGAGACTCTGTCTCAAAGTGCAAAAATAAAAAAAGGTCTGGGGATGTTGCTCAGTGGTTAAGGGCCCCTGGGTTCAATCCCCGGTACCAAAAAACAAAGCAAAATGAAATAAACAACAAACCCCAAAGAATATGATAGAGAGAAATACCAAGGGTAGGTTATTCATAGATATTATTATTTTCCTTTGTATTTTTGGTGATTATTATTATTTAGTTAGCACTGAATAGTTTATTGGAGACACATCTGAATACTTCAGCCATTTTAGACTTTAGCCATCAGGAGACATTTGTTGCAGTATGCATATGTGCAAGTCTGACCACGTTTTTGTTTTATTTTTAGGTCAATGATGCCTTCCTTCACGTGATACAGCGCAAATCTACGGGCAAGGTTCTTCTTTCTCTTAAATAAATCCTTACTTCTGCAGCAAATTCAGCATGTCCAAATCCAAACTCACATTCTTTCCCCAAAACCTGATTTCCCCCTGTGTTTCTAAAGGTGTTACCACCTTTCTTACTAATCCAGGTTTAAAATCTGGAGTCACATGTGGTTCTGGCTTCTTATTGCTCATAATTAATGTGGCCATGGAGGGTATTGTCCAAACTTGGACCTTTCTGAGAGTGGAAGGGTGCTGTTAGTAATTGCACCAGATAAAGGCGTCCTGGGCAGCAGGATGGAGTGTCACCCTGTACAAAATGCGCTCTCTGCCGATCCTGCATTCCCACTCTGCGGTCTCTCTCACCTCCTCCCTTCCGTCCTAATCGACTCCTCTGCTGCTTCCGTAGTCTTCTCACTGGCTTCCTACCTTTGAACTAATCTGTCCTCTCCGTCTGCATCATGCGTTACTCCATGGTGGTCTTCCTGATGCATGGTTCTACGTCTTGCCTCAGGAAACCTGCAGTGGCTCACCGTGGCTTGCACGGTGCAGTTCAGAGCCCTGGAACCAGCATTGGACTATGGCCGTGATTTTGCCATCTCTGTTTTCCAGCCCATGTCTGCAGTTCCTCAGTCCCTGATCTTGCCCCTTCTCTCCTTCACTCTGTCAAACACGGGCCGTCCTGACCCCTGAGGCCTCCTGTGCCCCTTTCCTCTTCCTCTGCTGCCTTCCGGTAGCTTCTCCTGCAGGATCCTGTTACATCCTAACTGTTATAGGGTGTGGCCCGTGTAAGGGCCAAGAAGCGGGTCTGAATCCACTGTGGAGGTATTACATTCATTTTTCTCAGTGCAAAGTGGCTATTCCATACAATGTCTACCTCCCAGAGCTACTGTGAGCAATACCGGCAGTGATAGGGGAGTGCACCTGGTAGGTAGTAAGGGATTAGCAAAATGAAAGTAATCAGCAGATTACTTAATTTCTTTCTTTTCTCCTTTCCCAGTAAATTGTAAGCTCCTTGAGAACAAGTATCATGTCTGATTCACAACTTTTTTTTGACTTCTCATACCACCTCCCATAGTGACTGAACCTGGGTAAATGTGAAATACATTGAACTGAATTTGAATGACCTGAAGCTCTTAAATCATAGGATTAAATTAAGAACATGTTGCTCTGTCCATCAGTTGGTGAATGGATAAGTAAAATATAGTGTGGACATACTGTGGAATATTATTCAGCCTTAAAAAAGAATAAGACTTGGATACTTGATACATCGTAGATGAACCCTGAGAATGTTACATGTGAAATAAGCCAGAAATAAATAGACAAATACTCTTGATTCCACTTATATGAGAACCTAGAAGAGTCAGCTTGGCAGACAGGAAGTAGAACGGTGGTTGCCAGTAGGAGGGGAAAAATGGGGAGTTACTGAATGGATATAGTTTTGGAGTGGGAAGGGGAAGAGGTTTTGGAGGTTGGTGGTGACGGTGGCATTACAGTGGGAATGCACTCAGTGCTGCTGAACTATACATGTAAAAATGGTCAAAATGGAAAAAAAAAAGGTTAAAATAAAAATGGTTCAACTTGTTAATTTTATGTTATTTATGTCTTACCATATTAAAAAATTTAAAAAGAGAACATGTTACCCTGACTTCTCAGTGAATTGATTCCAGACACAGGGTGTGTACAGAGTGCTGAGTTCAGGAAGCTGCTGTCTGGGCCACGTCCTGGTCTGTGGGGAGAGGTCCTGTACCCGGCTGGGTGCTCAGAGGGCCCTTGGTGGTCGGACTTAGATGTTCCCACTTTATGACGGGGTGAAGGCCTTTGAATTTTGTTCTTCTCCCTCTCTAGCAGTGGGATGCTGCCTTGTGATGCTGGGCTGGCAGCTGGTCACAGGTCCCAGGCGGCCCCTTCCCCCTGCGGGAGACCATGGACACACTGCTGGGTTGATGTTCCATAGGTCTAGTGTCTTCAACACATGCTTCACGTAAGATGGGTTCGTGAGTTGAGGAGCACCTCTGTTCCTCCCACTGCGTGAGATGATGGTGAGGAGGGAGCGGGGTGGGGTCGAAACAGGCGGCACTCACAGCAGCCTTGTGGGGACCTGTGGGGACTTTTGAGGACGTGGTGAGAGTTTTTGTTTTCCGTTAAGTACCTCAGACCATTTAAAAACACCTGTCTTCTCAGGATCTTGTTCCAAAAGATTTTTTTTTTTTTTTAAATAGAATCATAAAATAAGGGTGAACATTTGGGGAAAGAATTTGAAAGCTGAACGACTGCAGAAGGAGGAGGGGGAAACGGCAGGGAAACCCTTGTCTCTCCTGGGCCCACGTGGTACTTCCATGGGGTGCTTCCCCGAGGCTCAGGGCACCGGCTGCCCCCTCCTGCCCCCGCCTGCCCCCTCCCTCCCACTTCCCCCTGCCCTCTCCTGCCCTGCCTTCTCCCAGCCCCACTTCATCTTCATGGGACTCTTTTTACATTTAAATGAAGGTTGGTTTTTAAAGATCTCAAGAAACTCCACTGGAGGGTGATTTTGGAACCTCCTCTGGCATCATGAAGACATGGGGGTGGACCCTGGGAGAGAAGGAAGACAAACCAGGACTGGGGAGAGCTCCGGGGCCCAGCCGGGGCGCCCTTTTCACTGCGCAGAGCTGATCCCTGGTGTCACAGGCAATAAAGATCGAACGTCCCCAGCTCCCTGGTGTCAGAATGACTCAGATCAAAAGGGGCACTCATGAAGGAGAGTGAATTCTTCAGAGGTAACAAGCACTGGCTAGAACCCTCATGACTGGTTCTGGGCTCGCCTGTCTTCCCGTTTCATGGGATGGTTTGATTTGAAAGCATTTGACTCATATTTTAGTCATTGTTGGGTGGCTCTACCATCTGAGCCATTAGTCTGAAAAAAGAATCAATGCGGCTCCAAGTGACAGTATTTATTCTGAATTCACAGACTTCCCCAGCCTCCTGGTAGGCTGGCTGCCGGCTCCCACCCACACACCTGCCTTGCCTTTTTCAGAACCCGTGGGCCCGTCCACCTGCACCTGCTTCTCTGGGCAACCAGAGGGAGGTTTTCTTCGATTAGCCACAGAAGGAGCCTATCTGCACCTCGCCAGCATGTTCCGTCCTCTCCTTCCTCTGAAATCTCCGAGTTTAGAAAGCCATCTTGAGCTACAGTGAAGACAATAAAAGCTTTGCTATTTGACCAGCGAAGGGAAATAGGGATGCCTTCCCACACTCACCTGTATCTAACAACCACCACCAAAATACAAGAAAACCAGGAAAATCCCATGTTGTCATTTCATTTCCTTATTTTTCCTTCTGAGATCGTAAAAGGGAATCAAAGAGCAGTGATTTTTCACAATCTGTTTTGTTTAGGAAAGTCACCCGAGGCCGAGGCCTAATTGAATCAACCCTGGCATTTCCGGCTGTGCGCTTCATCAGCAGGGCTGATTGCTGAATCAAAAATCCGAGCCGGCTATACGCTGGTTTCTGGAACTTCATCATTGTTGAGGAATTCAAAACAAATGGGGTCCCCCTCTTTTGGTTAACTGTTCTTAGAAGTGGACAGTTGTAGGTGAACGTAATACCTTTATTTTATTTATTTTTTTACACGTGCTGAGGATCGAACCCAGTACCTAATACATGCTAGGCAAGCACTCTACCACTCAGCCCCAGCCCCACAGAGGTTCTTTCTAAAATCAAGATATATGTGTGTATATATAGATTTAAAAATAGTACACACTGTTCTACAATGCACTGGCTTTTTATTTAAGCATACTTTCTATCACTGAGCTATATCTTTGGCCCTAATGTGCTGTTTTTAATCAATAATATATCATGGATGTCGTTGATGTTAGTAAATATACAGTAATCTCAGTCTTTTTAACTCCTTCTTGGTATTCCATAGTGAGGATGTACAGTGTATGTAATCCTATCCTTATCTGTGGGCTTATTCACCTAAACACACACTTATGTGTCAAACTCAGCCCAGCACCCGGGTACATAGTGAGCAGAAGCTATAAACTAGTTGGGGAGACAGATGTTAATCACACAAACCAGGCTGAACGGGAGCCAGGTAAAGCATAATGGGGGGTCTTAATTTGGGGAGGGTGGTCAAGGAAGGTCTCCCTGAGGACCATCTCTTGAAGGATCCCTCCAGCTATAGTGGGGAAAAGGGATTGAAGAGGAACAGACCAATGCAGAGTCCATTTAGGTCCAATGAGAGATCTTCATAGCTTGGACTATGATGGTGGTCATGGGAAAGGATAGAAGTGGACGGAAAGGAGAACCATGTAGGAGATGAATGAAGGGCCCTGATGTTAGACTGGGGATAGGGCAGGGAGGAGGGGGACGAGGAAAGTGTCCACATGACTCTTAACTTCCTGGATGTGTCTGAGAGGACGAATAGCAAAAGAGAATTGGGTTTTGGCAGCAGAGAGGTATCATGAGGCAGAAGATGAAGTTTTGTACATTTTTGCATTAAGTTTTGAGGTAACGGGGTGGGGGGTATCTTAATTTGGAGAGGTTAAGGAAGATCTATCCTCTTGGTGTTCAGGAGAGAGGTGTGCCTAGAGATGCATATTTGGGAGTCGTTTGCACGGTGATATTGATGTCCTCGGTGTGGCTGAGATGACCCATGAAGAGTTTGTGGAGTAAGAAAGGAAGAGGGTTTAGATCAGTCATGAACTGCTCTCTTCAGTAGAGCTGCCAACTATTTCATGGCTACGCTGAAAGAGACTATAGAGGGGGAAGTTTGGGGATTTAAAGTAAGTAACAAGTGATTAAAAGAAAGGATGTATCACACTGTGGCTAAGCTATCATCGGGGACCAGGGACCTGGCTCTAATCCAGCTCTTTGATCTTGGACTACATTCACCTTTTTATTTATTTTTTCATCTGAGATGTAATATAATTTTTTTTCTTTCTGCCTTGCATGGTTCATGAGGGGTGGATGAGATGATATACATGAAAGTGCTTTGCAAATTGTCATTTTCATAAAGGATTACAAATGCATTAGTCAGTTTTCTACTGCTGTGACAAAACACCTGAAAGAAATCATCTTGAAAGCATTTATTTTTAAAAATTTTTTGTTCTAGATGGATGGACACAATACCTTTATTTTATTTATTTGTGTGATGCTGAGTATCAAACCCAGTGCCCCATGCATGCGAGGCAAGCCTTCTATAACTGAGCCACAACCCCAGCCCCCTAACATTTATTTTTGCTCACAGTTTCAGGGGTTTCAGTCCATGGTCACTTTGGCTTCATTGTCTCTGGGCCTGTGTGAGGCAGGACATCATGGCAGGGGCCACATGGTAGAGCAAAGCAGCTCATCTCAGGGCATCCAGGAAGCAGAGAAGTAGAGATGGAGAAAGTGAGAGGAAGGGGAAGGAGTTGAAAAGAATGTTCAAGGGGATGCCCTTAAGGATCTACTTTCTCAAACTAGGCCTATCTTGAGTTTCTACCATATGGTAAATTATGAATCCACCAATAGATTGATCCACAGTGAGGTTGGAGCCCCCATGATCCATTCACCTTCCAAAGGCTCCACCTCTGAACTCTGCTGCACTGGGGACCAAGCCTTCCCACACATGAGCTTTTGGGGACATTTTAGGTCTGGACCATAACAGCAAGGTTACCTTGTACCAGTGTGTTTAAATTCATTTCAGATTTGAAGCAAAAATTGTATATTTTTTCAGCATATGCTGTGCTGACACGGAGCAAAAGAATTGTTTGATTTTTAAAGATGGCTCTCAAATATCTTTACATTTTAGCTGAGGTCAGTCTGCTCTTTTATACATAATAATAGATAAAGTGATGGGGGCCTGATGATCTGATGTACTTCAAAGATATATAGAGCCAGACAAAGTCTAGAGAAGGACACCTCATTTGATCAAGATGGTAGAGAGCTCTTTCTTTCTTTCTTTTTTGAGGAATGATAAAAGAAATAGGGCTCTTGATTCTGGAAAGACACAGGCTAAGAGAGGGATACGATTAAAAATTATAAAACAATGAAAATCACAGGATAAAAACATGAACTTATTAAATCCCAGAGCATAAGAACTGCAGACAACTTTAGCCTGCTAAAGAAATAGATTAAGGGCAAAGTAAAAATAGCAGTTTTCACTCAGGAATAGTAAACACGTAGAACCTAACTACTTTCAAAGTTTTTCTGGGATCAAGATAAAACATTACAAGAGGAAGATTTATATTGTTGGAGAAGATAAATTCATAGCAGAAACTAAAATCGTTTGGCTAATTTTCCCTAGTCTTGGAGGATATCCAAGACAGGAGCCATGAGGCTTTCCTGACTCTGGCATCCCTTGTCCAAATCAGGATTCCTGAGTGGACCTGCTGGAGAGCAGGGGACACAGAATTTGGGGTCAGAAAGCCTGCCTGCAAGTATGACCTCTGTGATCCTAGAGAGTCACTTCTAAGTACTTCAGATCCCTCATCTGTTAAAAAGGGGAGGGGGGCAATAACATTAAAATCTGCCTAACTATTGTGAGAGGTTCAAATGAGGTGATGTTTCTGGAAGTGCTTTGTCATTGATCAATAGATGTTATCCTTATGGACACAAGAATTTCCTATTGTTGTAGCATTTCCAGTTCTATGCCCTCCAGATGGGTGGATCTTCACCTTGTGCTTCCTGTACTGACCTCCTCAGAGATCATATTTACCAACTTGGAAATGAAAGAGAGGACAGAGGGCAGGGAACAACCCCTGGTCCTCTAGGAAGGTGGAGAACACAGACACCTCTTTTCTCAGCACCTTTCCCCCTCGGGGCAGATCTGGTGGGAGAACTAAAGGTAGGGAGAACTTTGCAAACATCTCTTTTCTCTTTTGGATGTTATGGTGGTGGTAATGCTTTGGATATGAGGTGTTCCCAAAAGCATCAGTGTAAATATAGGAATATTCAGAGTTGAAATTATTAGATCATGAGAGTTGTAACCTAATCCATTCTAGTTTGATGGACTAACTAGGTGGTAACTGCAGATAGGTGGGGTGTGTCTGGAGAAGGTGGGTGACTGGGGGTGTGCCCTGGAAGGTGCATCTTCCCTTTGGTGCCTTCCCATTTCTTTCTGCCACGAGGTGAGCAGTTTTCCTCTATGGTGCATATGGTGCATATTTTCCTCTATGGTGCACTTCTGTCATGATGTTCTGCCTCACTTTGGACCCAGAGCAATGAAGTCAGCTGACCAGGAACTAAATCTCTGAAACCAAGCCAAAATAAACTTTTCCTCCTCTAAATGGTTCTTGTCGGTATTTTGGTCACACTGATGTAAAGCTGACTAACCCAGAAATTGGTACCAAGAAGTAGCATCATTGATAAGATTAACTTGATGATGTGGTTTAGAAGTCTTTAGAACTGGCTTGCAGGAGAAATTTGGAGATGCAGACCTGAGAAGCCTTAGAATGTTAAGTTGAGCTCCATGGGCAATTCTGGTGAGAGCTCAGAAGACCAGAATGCCAATAGGAATGAGGACAGTAAAGATTGTGCTCATGAGGTTTCAGAGGGAGGTGAGAACTCTACTGGCAGTTGGACTGGAGGCCACATCTGTTAACATTCTGCCAAAGAACTTGTATACATTTTTCTTTACCTGTCCTGAGACTTTCTGGGGGCCAAATTTAAAGGTGATGGACTAATTAACCTGGTA